GGGGAGGGGAAGAGTGGGGGGAGGCAAGGTTTAAGTCTTGTGACTAATAGGTGCTTCCTATATGTCTTATAATGATTACCCACAAATCAAAAGAACCATTTTCTACTAGAACTTAGCTCTGTTGAGCTTGCATCCCTCTTCAGAAACATCAGGAATCTATTTCTTAAACTATCATTGTAAACAGAGTAATGATTTATTCTGAAAGCCCTGAAAAATAATGAGGAGTGGGCACGAGAAAAAAGCATTTTAAGATCCATTGTATTAAAAATTACTCAAGCACTACAGTAGAGGTCACTCAAATGAGAATGAGAACTAATCATTCAGAATAAACAACCAGTAGAAGAAGAAAAAATAGCCTAAGGCCCTAATACATGTCACTTTGAAAGAAAGGATACCCAATTAGAACCCTGAGCCTGGAGTAACTACAGTGATGAAAGCAAACAAAGTGTTAGGGCTCCACCTGAAACTCCTTGATAGCACATCAAGAGGAATGCACATGCACAAACTGCCAGAGGGAACAGAGAGGACAAAGGCCCAGTCTGTTTGAAGACTGTGCTGCTTAATCTCACCACAGATTTGAATAAAAATACCAACCTGGCTCTCTGTGCTTTGAGCCTATATGATATCACAGGAGGAACTAAATCAAAACTTAGAGATCAAGGTCTTGGATTGAGGTACAATTATTCTGGAAAGGTGGTGAAAAGATGCTACAAAGAGCCTTAGAACAGCAAAAGAAAAACTTTAGACCTAACCTTTTTCTTGAAACAATAAAATCAGTAGGAGATAAAGGGAGAAAACTATTCCTTTTTTTATTTATTGAACTCCTGGGAAATATGCTGTGTTTATATGTGTAAAATAAAAATTATATATAATGGAGTAAAAAGGACCACAGTAAGAAGTTATAACAATACTAGAGACCTGGTGCACGAATTTATGCACCAGGGTCCCTCAGCCTAGTCTGTGGGATAAGGCCAAAACCAGCTCCAACATCCCCCGAGGGGTCCCAGATTTCGAGGGGGCACAGGCCAGGTGAGGGACCCCCACCAGTGCATCATTGGGGCCAGGGAGGGAAGCAGGAGGTTGGCCGACCAGGGAGGGGCCGTGGGAGGGCTCCAGGGCATGTCTGGCCCATCTCACGCAGTCCCGACTGGCCGGAACCCAGCAGCAAGCTAACCTACTGGTCTGCCCCCTGGTGGTCAGTGCACGTCACAGCGAGCGGTTGAGTGGCCTTAACATATCATTAGCATATTATGCTTTGATTGGTTGAACGGACAATCAGACATGTGGCATATTAGGCTTTTATTATATAGAATTATTTGTAAAGAACATCAACATTTGATCTGAAAATGAACTGGAATCATTGTAGACTTCTAAAAATTGAGTAGCAAGATCAAAATGACACTTCAGAAAGTTACTTCTTACTGCTCTCAGTGGGTGGGATAGTTTAGAGAACAGAGACAATGAAAAGAATTTGAACATGAAGCAATTGGGTACCCAGACTGGGTTATGTATGTAAAAGACCCCAGAATTCAAACTGGATTAGATGAGACAGGCCTATACTTTGATCTGTATTCCTTCCACAAACTCTTTAACCAAAACCTCCAATATTTTATTCTCCCACCCTTAAGTAGATATTTCATCAATCATTTGCCTACAATCCATTGATCCCAATATCATTTTCATTGTCCCTCATCTCCATCGGGTCCTCACTTCCATCCCTAAACAAATTAAATAACACAGTTCATAATTATAGCCACTCCTTTCCATGTAACTCCCAACTTACTACTCTCCTCTCTTTCCTTTAAACTCACCTAGATAAATCTCAGTGGTAATGAAGCACAACTCCCCACCTTTGTATCTGGACAACTGAATGGCCTAAAGGAAAACACACAACCATGCTTTTACCCTTCTTTCTTTTACTCCATAATCTCCAACCTCAAGAGGACCCTTGCCCATTAATCATTCTGTCTTCATGGTCCATTCAGTCTCCCACTTAGATAATTATTCCATGTCCTCAAATTTCCAACACCATCACAACCCTCTGCTGATGATATTATTTCCTATTTCTCTGAAAAGACAGATGAGATCATATGAGAAATTTTTCAAACTCCCATCACCATGTCTGCTTTGAATCACCCTTTTTTCTTCATGCTAGAAATGAACAATCCATGCTCTTCTCAAAGTCCTACCCTTCCTCCTGTGTCTGGATTTGACCTCTTCTTACCTACTCAAAGATGTCACTCTAATATTTATCCTTCCTTTTTTCCATTATCATTTTTCCTCTCATTTAGATTAATTCATTAGCATATAAACATATTATAATACTAGAGGCCCGGTGCACGAATTCGTGCACAGGTGTGGTCTCTCAGCCTGGCCAGCGTTTGGGACTGATCCGGGCCATCTTGCCCAGTCCTAATTGGGGCAGACCGGGGCGAGCCAGCTGGGGTCGGGACAGGGAGGGGCCGCGGGAAGTTGGCCAGCTGAGGGAGGTTGGCTGTGAGAGCGTACTGACCACCATGGGGCAGCTCCTGCATTGAGTGTCTGCCCCCTGGTGGTCAGTGCGCATCATAGTTATCAGCAGGTCATCCGGTCATCCAGTCGTAATTGTCGCTTAGGTTTTTATATAGGGAGATCTTTAAAAAAATAAAATCCCTGCTTTGTTTCCAAAGTCTCCTTTAGTTATTGCCTCATTTCTTTATTCCAAAATGTTCAGAAACTTAATTTTATGTCCTGAACTTCATTCTCTCTTTTACCCACTTCACACAGGCTTTTGCCTGTACCACTCAGTAGAAACTGTGTCAGGTCACCAATTGCCACAACATTATTATATGCAATGATAAATTCTTAGTCTTTAGCTCACCTATCATTAGCTTTTAACAACCGATCACTCCCCCTTTGAAACATTTTCTTCATAAGGTTTCCAGGATGCCAGTTCCCCTTGGTTCTCCTCTTACTTCCCTGGTGGTCTCATGTACTTTTCTTTTCATCTACCCTAGCCTGTAAACATTGTAGTGACACAGGGCTCAAACCTCAGACCTTTTCCCACTTCTATCTATACTCTTAAAAAACCTAGTCTTGTGGATTTAAAAATCATCTGTACATGCATAATTTCCAAATACATCTGCTTTTCTTCTGAACTCTAAGCACATATGTCCTACTTTCATTATGATATGTCTATAATTGGGTTAACAATATGTGAGTATAAAATGTTTACAGTTTGATTAGATGTATAACTCTCATTCTAAAATTAACATGACCAAAGAAATCATTCTTCAAGAAGATGTAACAATTGTCTTTTCAATAAATGGCCCTGAGAACATTGAATATTCACATGTATGAGAATAAAATTGGACCCTGTTTCACACCACTCACTAAAATTAACTCAAAATAAATTGAAGACTTAAATGTAATACCTGAAACCAAAAACTACCTATAATAAAACACAGGGGAAACACTCCTTAACATTGATTGGTTTTGGTAATGATTTTTTTGGATATGACATCAAAAACATAAACAACAAAAGCAAAAACTAAGTGGAACTACATCAACAATCAGAATTGTACATATGTTATCTATCTTTATGAAGTATTGTTGGGGAAGGGAATATGAAAGTTATAATATTGAAACCAAGCTGCTATATTTTTGTTAGCAATGTCCTGTAAAGATCATTCTGACCAAAAATTTCTGAAACTATGGTGTGGCTTTTGTGTGTGTGTGTGTGTTTGTTTGTTTTTTGCATTTCTGTATTTTCATTACATTACAATATGTTCAGATTATTCAATGAAGAAAAGTGGATGTGATTTAAAATTTCAAATCAAAACTAGCTTAAAAATACTAATCTAATAATTCTCAATTTGCCAAGTGATCACAAAACTATTTCAATTTTTTTCTCCTAACACTTGACTCAAAATTGCATCCCACGAAAAGTTGCCCGAAGAAATATACAAGGCAAAGATATTTGTGAAAAGATATTTAATCTCACTAGCAATGTGGATAATTCAAATAAAAGTGACTTACTGTTTTAGACATCAAATTAACAACATGTTTAGAAATAATGTTATCTACTATTAGCAAGGCCATATGGGAGTATAAATCAGAGTATTGTTTCCATGTAGAAACTGATTAGATAAATAAATATTAAAAGCCTTAGAAAGGGCTCTTAACTCATCAATTTCAATTACTCAATGTATTCTAACAAAATAAAGGTGCATATAATGATTTAGTACCATTGTTTATCATCTTGAACATTTACAAACTACCCCAAATTTTAGCAATATAGAATTAGTTAAATAGGCATGGTTTAATCCCTACAAAGAAAAACAAAACCCACAAATGTTTTAGGTGAACATGCAATGGCATGGAAAGATGTCTCTAGTCTATTATTAAAAGGTTATCGAGCAGTACGTATAATGTACAGTTTGAGTCAGAGGAAGAGGGAAAGAAAAACTACATGCTCAAAATTAATCTCTCCAGTGTGCTATTACGTTTTTCTTCTCTTTTTTGCTTATCTGTCTCCTAAACTTTCAACAAAGATAAATGGTTTTGTAAACAGAGTAATATTTGCTCTTTAATCTACTTTCCACTTTTAAAAGCTCAGTGACTTCTACACATTTATAAATACAATTTGCAATACCTTAGCTGATACATATCCTTGCAGATATGTTCTTTTTTCACACATTCATGTTTTCTTCATTCATCAATTCTCATGCCAATTTGTAAGTTCCAAAATCTCAAGGACAATTGCCTCAAATTCTTTAAGCTTTCTGATGCCTAATAATATAAGGTTTACAAAAATTACACATATTAATATTTATCAAATACATGAATCAGAAATATGTGATGGAAAGAGGCCTTAAATATTAAAGGTAGATAAAAGCTGTTGTTGATATTCTAAATACGTTTGATTAATATTTCCCAAATCAAACCCACAATTTACTGTCCCTGCTTCAGAGTTATTACTATTTGAGGCTATCTGTCTCAATGTTTGAGTTCAAACCTTTGCTCAAAAACACTCTGTGGATCTGGAGCCCTGAGTCCTGCCCACTAGGCTGGCCTGCCTGCCTACTTTATCATTGCTGGGAATCATGGCTCAATGCACCTATTTTCCTATATGTATGTTATACATGTGCTAAGCAATATAAGTAAAATATGCATTACAGCATTATTTATAATAGCAAAAGAATGGCAATAGCTTAATATTTATTAATAGATGTGTGACTAGATTATACTCTGTGTATATGATAGAATATATGCCACCTTTAAAAAAAAGATAACTTTTAAAAAAATATTTTTTAATTGATTTCAAAGAGGAAGGGAGAGAGAGAAACATCAATGATGAGAGAGACTGATGAGAGAGAATCATTGATCGGCTGCCTCCCG